TGTGTGTGTGAGAGAGTGACGTGGTTGAATAAGACTGTCGTTGGAACTGTTTTTCTTCTGTATCAATTCTAATATGAAATTACATTTTGTTTTCTGAAACATCATGGAGACGACACGCTAAAAATACAATTTAAAAAACCCATTACTTTTCATGAGAAAAATGAAGTGTGTACAACGGCAATGATGCTATGAAGTCGTGCCGAAAAAAAATGTCAGACCACGAAGTTTACCATTCTGTTGAAACAATGCGCCACGAAGACAACAACAATGTTAATATATGAGGTATACAAAATATAGACATTTAAATCCTTCAAAAATACTTATCTGTATGTGCACCTCGTAATATCTTAGTACTACCAATAAAAAGAAGAATCTTCGATTCGACGTCCTTTTCCGATAAGACCATACTGTCACTAAAGTTGGGGCGTAACTTAAAAAATGTTCTTTGTTCCTATTCCAAAGCCAAGGGCGCAATTAATCAGGCCAACAAACTGCCTTTTTGTTATAAAATACACACCAGCACAGCAAATACTCACTGGCCACAACCTCCGTTTCCCCAGGTGTATAAAGAGTCATCCTCTGTGGACACAAAAGAAAACACAAAACAAAATAATGTTATACAAACATCCAAGATACTTTCGTATGATCTGCTAATGTATGAATTTTTAGCAAAGAAGCATTCAGTAGTTTACTATTTTATTAATTCTGTCTTTCAGGATGAACATCTAAAGATTTTATTCAGATAGTTTAGCTCTTTCTGACTTTGAGTTGAACTCATGCTTTGATCCAATAGTACATCGGAGAAGTTGTATTTACCAATAACTTTCGTTTACTTTCGTCATCCATGCAGATGCCCAAGTAAAGAATGGAAGGAAAAAGATGTTGGAGTGGAGGATAATGCAATAGGTAGTCCACAAAGAGAAGAGGAATGTTATGAAAGCAGACCTTATGTAATTAATGAATACAAAAAGATAAAATAATGCAGTTTAAGACAGCACTGGCTTTGAAAAATGAGTCAATCCTTATGGTATGCTAAACGTACAAAGGAAACAAGAAGGTAAGATCACGCAAGCAAAACCGTACGCCTGTGAGTAACATCTGCTAGAAATGTATAAATACATGCTGGACAAAAGCTAATTTAGATTACAAATTCGTGGACACTAAAGCACTGCCGTATTCATGGAACTGTACAGAAGCAGAGAGAAAGAGAGAGAGAGAGAGAGAGAGAGAGAGAGAGAGAGAGAGAGACAAAA